CCTCACTACTCACGGCCCATGACATTTCTCCACAAGCATATAATTCTCATAAAACACAGGCTGATTCAAACTATTTTCCTAGAACCTGAACGCACCATAATGGCATATGAACCGGAAGTAGTAATTTGTTGTAACGTTTTTCTTCCGTTGCTCCTGACAACTTAAATACACAGCAGGGCTAACCGCTAAATATCAGCTTTATATCAGAATCTCAGATTTCGACACAATACTTTCCCAGTAAACGTAAAAATGGTAAATTTTTTACAATTTACTTTATTAATTTTGTAAAGGAATTGTTTATAGCTTGCTGTGTGAGAATGTATTCGAAGGTTTAACAGGATGCTAACTATGGCTAGCACAGAGAAGCTAGCCGGGCGTTGTCTTAGTTCAGAACATGTTTAAATAGACAGTTGAATAATATTATGTTATTATTACCATTTTCGTTCTAACTTCACATATTTGTAGTTTTATTGGTTTTCATACTTATGTTGGCATCATATCAATATTAGTCGCAGTTCTATCACTGTTTTTGTTGCTGTTCTAATAATGGTGTCATTTTCTCGCCTCTTCACAGACACTGAAAGCGCAGAGCTACTCTATATTTGTTATAGTAAAGTTATATTCATTTATACTGCTTTCATGCTCCTCCTGTTGTATTTATTTAAAAAGGAGGGATTCGTGTTGCTGAGATTTTTGTTTTGTTTAAAATAAAAACTGGGGGCAGAATACCAAAGTCAAACCAGTTACTGTTTGTTGCTTTTCAGGCTGAGGTCGAAGAAACTCTGAAGAGGATCCAGGGTCAGAAAGGAGTTCAGGGAATCATCATCGTCAATTCTGAAGGTAAATCTGTGTGTAAATGAACAGGTAGGATGCAGGTTGGATATACTAGAACATCCAGCATTTGATCTTAGAAGGAACCTTTTGATTTCTGTTCTTCTCCAAACGTTTTAACTTTACTCAGAGATCTGAACTTTGACACATGCCACCAGTGGATCTCAGCTTATATCTCTTATAGCTAGGCCTGACACAATAACACATTTTCTTCTCAGAAGTTATTGAAATTACTTATATTATTGTAATTTGGTTTGAACCCAAAGTATGTTTTCATTACCAGCTTTGAAACCAGTTTAATGTCTGTTTTTCCAAATCTCAACCAGCTTTTCTTCGCCTCACTATTCCTCAGTGACGAGGCTCTCATGCTACTTCCTATGCTAAGGAAGAGATGAGAGGTTTGAGTGGAGGCCGATGCAGTGGAGTAAAACCTTTTGTAATCCAGATTGTTTCAAAGAAAGAGAGGGAAATACAAGAGAAATAGACAAGCACACAATCATAAATTTTTGAGCTAATTTAAATTTGCTATTTCATTTTTATCTTCCAATGATTAATTTATTTATCAACTATAAAAAGCACTTGAAGAGCACAGACCTCTGCCAAGCAGCAAATTTTGCCCCATATTATGACTTATAGCTAAAACTCACGCATGATCTGGATCATTACTAAATCCTAATAATTGTTCCTTGTTATGAGGGACACTTTTTGGCAACAGTTTCCTTAAAATCCTTCCATAAGTTGATAAATAAAGCCCAGCGTGTGTCTGCAGCCTCTGGTGTTTGTTCTGCTCTTACCTTCTTCATTCCCGCGGCTTTCTCTTTTTATCAGCAGATTGAGACTTTAAGCGATGTGTGGCTCACCTTTCCTGTGTTTATTGACTATTTTGAGTCTGATGCTGAAGCTGTCAATAGAACAAGATAGAAAAGAAGTTGACTAAAAGCAAAACCTCCTTGGTGGAGGCAATTATAACAACCTTTGATTGAGCCATTGTTGCAGCCACTGCTCCTCCAAAAGCTGTAATTAATAGTTCAGCTCACTTTCTCCTCTGTCTCCTTTTCCACACTGTCTGCCGTATCATCCGGTTACTTCCACTGCTTAACTACTTAAATCCATCCATTGACACCGAATTTTGACACTTTTTGTAATTGTTCTTTTGCGCATGGGGGTCATAATTTGAGACGTTCATGCCAGCAGCCACACAAAAGCAGCAGACCTGGCAAAAAATCGGAACCAAGCCTTTTAACCTGTAGTGTGAACGTAGCTTAATACTTAAAGTGGTTCCCATGATGCATTCCTGGCTGTTATGATCCGGACCCTTTCTGTCATTTTCTCCAGGAATTCCCATCAAATCGACCATGGACGACCAGAGCACGCTGCAGTACTCCGCTCTGACCCACCAGCTGGTGATGAAGGCCCGGGTCACCGTGAGAGACCTGGACCAGCAGGACGACCT